AAAACAAACAAAAGACAAATAGTGTGTGATTCTATAAAAATACTTGTTATATATTTATCGACAATTGGACAATATAAGCCTCCCGGAGTCCGGAAAGCTCATAATAATACTTGTTTTATTAAAAACAAATACAATTGTTTTCACTGAGTACTTGTTTTCTTAAAATCCTACGGATTTTTTAGTTGAAAAAAAGACAAAATACAGTTTGACAACAAAAAAACAGAGTATTTAACAGGTTACGGAGTACGCCGCTATTTATTTCGTGGGCTTACGCCTAGTCGCCAATACGCCATACATACTGGTAACTGAGGCTAGTAGTATTTAGAAGAAACAATGAAACGTAGCCATGCCCGAATAGGTTTATGACCTATTTTTATATATATTTTAAAAAACAACACAAAACAAATAGTCTTTTTTCATAGCGTTCTAAATTTTTAAAAATCGAAGGGCGAAGGCTATGCTTTTCTTAGTTTCTAATTTAGAAGGCTATGTTTTTAAATGCCGTTTTTTTAACACTAAAGATAAATATTTAAATAGTTGCCGTAGCTACTACTTACTGGTTATTTAACAAATTGGCGCAGGCTTGAGCGTCTTGAGGGGTATGGGGTATGGGGTGAGGGGTGAGGGGTGAGGGGTGAGGGCCAAAAATTCAAATATTATACCCCCTGCTTGATTAAAAATATGATTCATCCCATAAAATCACATTTAAAAAAAAGTTACATACGAGGAGTTTTTATTTTTTTAATTATTTACCAGAGAGCAGACAGGAAGACGCTCGAATGTCAGAGTGATCAGTCATAAGACTGAGTGACAGACAGGCAGACAAAATGTGATTTAAAAAAAATAAACGAAAATACAGACTCTTTTGTACAAAGGTGCCAAATGAAATTTGTGTGTTGAACGAACAGGCAGATGCTCGGGTTTTCGTTTGTCCAAAACAAACTGGTGGACATGCGTGACGGACTGATGTCTGATGTCAGAGCCTCACCGGCTTGTGAAATGTGAAGTTGTAACTTGTGAGCACTGATGACTGATAACAAGAGAAATGAACGGCCCGAAAAAGTCAAAAAGTTCAGAGTAATGTTTTTTATCTGTATTTTTATATTTTTATATTGTCCATTATTTTTTTCTACACACATCACTCTGTAGTAGTCTATACTCTGTACTCTGTACTCTGTAGAGTGCTCAGTGTAATCTGTACGCGAGAGTGTTCAGTGTAATCTGTACGCGAGAGCGTTCAGTGTACGCCGTCGCGTCGCCTGTACAGTGTGCGGTGAGTCGGTGAGACTGAATGACTGAATAGTGAATACATGTCTATTTATGACATAATTACCTCAAGTCAACATTGAATATGTAGGCGTGTAGTCTCCTGGTCGGTACTCGGTACTATGTAGACACTTTTCTAATCTAGAGAGACTGAATAGACATAAGTCTATATTTACTATTTAGAGTGTAGACCAAGCGGCTAGCCTCATTACGTTTTGCCTGTATACGATAAACGTTGAGCGTAAACGTAAAAAGCATTGTTTTGTAGGCGTTTTAAAGTATATCGGGGGCAAATCGACCTTGAATTTTTAAAAATTTTGCACCTGAAAAACTGACCTTCGTTGAGGAATATGACTACGAAAAGAGTGACGTCCAATTAAAAGGCGGTCTTACAATGCATTCACTGTGTGTGCGGACATATATATATATATATATGTGTGTGCAGATATATGTGTATC